GATCCCAGGACCCTGGGATCATGACCTGAGCCAAAGGCAGACGCTTAACGACCGAGCCACCCAGGCGCCCCTACTTTTCTCTAATTTTTAATGTTATTTTTATTAGCTCCCTTCCACTTTCCTTAAGTTTTGTGTGTATGTGTATTTATAAGTGAGTATGTACTGGAGTCTTTAGTTTAATTAATTTAAGAGCTAAGAACATGCCATTGGGCCACATCACAAAAGCTTTGGTAACTAACTTTTGTCATCATTTCCTAAAAAGAAATTATTGGCTTTTTTTTTTTAATGCAAACTTTCTAATTTTATTGCTTATAATCGGAGAATGAGACCTCAGCAATTTCTGATTTTGGTAACTGAATCAAGATCTTCTTTTATCGTTGAATATGATCAATTTTTGTAAATGTTCCTCAGTCACTAGAAGTAATTTCATATTCTTTGTTCATATTCAAGAAAGTTCAATGCAGCTATTCAACCTTAAAAATGATACAGTGTAAAATCTCTATATAATTATTAGTTTATGCTGCTAAAGACTAGCTACATAATTTGCAGGGCTCAGTACAAAATTAAAAATGTGGAGTCCATTATTAAAAAATTATTAAGAACTTCAAGAGGGTGACAGCAGCCCATTAAGCCAAGCATGGACCCTTTTAAACTCAGGGTCCTGTGTGAACAGGTCACACACCCATAAAAACCAGCCCTGCACAATCTCAAATTACTATTGTTTTTGTTAATTTCCACTTAAAATATTAATGCATTTTGCTTTTTGTAATTTGATAATATTTTATTTATTACAAAAGCATCATTACAGTTAAGTCTCACTGTGGATCATGATTTTTAGTAAAAATTAAATCTGTTCTTCTGAGTGCATTTTTTCTTAAATTCTATATCCCTTGGTATCTTTTGGTTTGAGTGGATTCCTACATTTTCTCCTCATTTCCTGTTATTAAAAATTTCTTATTTTTAACATATTTTCTATTTTTCTCCGAGTTACCTATGCGCAGTTTTAAAAGGCAGCCATTTCTATAGGGTTTATTACGACAACCAGCAACCCCCTGCCCACCAGCTCATCATTTTCCATTCCACAGAGCAACCACTTTCAACGCTTTTAGCTTTATGGGGGGGTTGGGGGTGGCGCAGGAGGGTAGCGTACGTCTGGGTGGCGTATTTTATGAATCCTTTGCACTCCAAATGCCGTTCGGTTCCCTCAGACCTGAAGAACAGCCTGGAGCAGCATAAACGGTGTGCGTGTGCGTGCGCATGCGCGTAAGCATGCATGCACGCACCTACCAATCAGTACTTAAATCGCATCCTTAAGAATGTCTTTTTGTTCCTTTATACGTGAAGGGCAGCTTGGCCAGTTATTGCATTCTTGGGCCACAGCAATGTCCTCAATACTCCGCACATATTTTTCCATTACATTCTAATATATAGGGTTGCAGGAAGTCTGTGCCATCCTGATTTCTCTTCTGCAACCTTTTTTGATTTTGTTTGTTTGATCATTTGTTTCTTAAATGCATATAAGGTTTTTTTCCCTATCTTTCAAATTTAAAACATTTCTGGGTATTGAGTTTAACTTTTATAAACTTTGTTGGGAATCAACAATTTAATCTCTTTAAACTTTAAAGAAATGGCAGGTTTTCCTTTATGACAGCTTAATTATTACTGGCAATGAAGTCATTTCCTGTTTAAGTTAACAAGTTGGTTTCGATTTCTTGTCTGCAATGCCAAGAAACACTAAGCAGATGTAAAGAAAATGAGAAATGCGAGAGGACATGAAGAAAATAAAAAATTTAGTCAAAATTATGCTTTGTCTTTTCATAGCAGTAATACTGGTGATGGATTTTATTAAACATTGATCTCCTAGGAGAAGGAGGGAAACTCTTACCTTCAGAGGTAACACTTCTCTATTGATACCATAAAATGTTGCCATAGCAAGGGTCCAAGACAGCAGACCAGCCACATTCCCACAGACTTTTTTGGCATTTTCCAAAGAATAATCATCCATGTTAAAATATGGCTGCAGCAACTCAACAGTCTCTTCATTTATAGTATCCTTGGGGAACTGCTGAAGGCTCCATAGGAACCCTGTTGCACTCATCAACTGAAAAATAGCACTACAACCTGTAAGTTCCGGGAGAAAATAAATACTTTCTTTCTGAGTTAGGATATAATTCTAAATTGAATTTTTTCAAAGTAACAATTGATATACTCTTAAACATACAAATCAAGACTATGACAATAGACAACCTAAATCTGTAAGTTGCAAATTGTCTTCCCATCACCATGGTTGAAAAAGTAAAGAAGAAAAGATATGTAAGTTTCCTGTCCAGTGTGCGCATTTGAATGCCACTAACCACACAAGCTCCCTTTTGGAGACTGGGTTGGGGTGACATCAAGAGTGTGCCAAGGTGTGCTTGGGTGGCTCAGTCAGTTAAGTGTCTGCCTTCAGCTCAGGTCACAATCCCAGGATCATGGGATCGAGCCTCACATCGGGCTCCCTGCTCAGTATGGAGCCTGCTTCTCCCTCTCCCTCTGCCACTACCCTGTGCTTGTGCTCTCTCCTTCTCTCTCAATGTCAAATAAATAAATAAAATCTTTAAAAAAAAAAAAAAAAGAAATGCTGTCATTCATCAAGAAACAAAACCAAAGAAGCCTAAAGGTAGAGAATGCCTCCAATTAAAAAAGAAACACTTCTACTGAAAACCATTCATGTTCGCACCAATGATGGGAAACAGGATTCTATAGCTTCTAGCAAAGTCTGTGAGCTTAGATTGAAAGTTAATACAGGGAGAAATGAACAAATCAGTGTCCATAGACTTTATTAAAATGCCATTTCCTCCTGTGAGAAAATGCAGGTTTTATTGTACAGATGAATATATGACTTGTAAATCCAATTTTCTCAGAGCTGCCAACGTACGTACATACATAGTGTGCAACATTAATATATTATTATGACCAATGTATTTCCTCAATATGTTATTTAGTGTCAGCTAAATGGCTACTCTTACCAAAATACTGCTCTCCCCTGTATTTTTCACATACAATTAAAAAAATAAGGGAAACACTAAATATGAGTTTGGAAATAATTTTTCCATTGTATCAAATACTACCACCTGAAGCAAAGTACCTTCACTGCTATGCTCAAAAAGATAAGTAGATGTCACCATTGTTCTTTTCTTGCCGTCTTCTTTTTTTTTTTTTTATTCCTTCCCAAAGCTCACCTTGAATGTGGTGCCTGATTTAATGAAATTCTTTTCTAATACATTATCCAGGGCTGGATCCAGCTCTTCACGAATGTCCTCAATGAGAAGGGGTCGGCCCAAGGAAAGGCTGTCCTCCAAGTGTGTGCGGAAATATTTATGGTTCAGAGATGTTACCTAAAAATAAAGGGTTCATTGCTATATAAATGTGACAAAGAATGTGCTTATTCCTAAGTGGAAACCAAGAGATTTGTTGCACAGATGCCTAAGAATTTTAAGGGCGATAGAGGAAGCCTTATGAAAATAAAAGTAAAGGGACGCCTGGGTGGCTCAGTCGGTTGAGCGTCTGCCTTCGGCTCGGGTCATGATCCCGGGGTCCTGGGATCG